TGGATGGTGGCCTTTACTTCCTTTTTGCTCCTTATATCTCTGGAATTCAAAAACTGGAAGATGGTTCCTGAAGGCTGGAGCAGCCCCTTCTTTCCCCAAGGAAGGCTTGGAGAAGGTCTTTGTGCATCAGCTCAAGCTACATAGTCTTGATTCCGTGCTTTTTAAAATTTCTCTTTCTTCTTTCTTCCTTTCTTTTCCTTCCTTCCTTCTTTCCTTCTTCCCTTCCTTCCGTCCTTCCTTCCTTCCTTCCTTCCTTCCTTCCTTCCTTCCTTCCTTCCTTCTTATTTCTCTTTCTTTTTATTTCTCTCTCTTTCTTTTTTCTTCCATTTCCTTCCTTCCTTCTTTCCATCTTTTTTTTCCTCCTTCTTTCCCTCCTTCTCTCCCTATCTCCTTCCTTATATCCTTCCTTCTTTTCATTCTATCTCTTTCTATTTCTTCTTTCTTTCTCAAAGAGTTTTTGCCTTAGGCTGCATGTGTTCACCAGAGAGATATTGAGACACTTACTGAAAAGAAGTCCTATTAATATGAATAATGTAAGAAAGTGTTTTCCTAGATTTCAAACCTCATGTTACATCAGATAACTCACACAGGAGGGAAACCCCCATGAAGGTGAGCAATGCATATGTATATTTTACAGAAGTCCCACCTCACTGTGCATCAGAGATGTCACACCAGACAGAAACCCTATTAATGTAAAGAATGCAGAAAATATTTTTATGGTTGGCAACCTTAACTGGACATCAGACAATTCATACAGGAGATAGAGAATATGCATGTGAACAATGTAGAGAAACTCTCTCAAAAGCCATACCTCACTGTACTTCAGAGAACTCACACAGTAGAGAAATTCTGTGATTGCGAATGATGTAGGAAAATATTTTCCTGGAAATCAGGACTCTCAGTACATTGGATAATTCTCACAGAAGAGAAACCTTATGAATGTCAACAATGTGTGAAAATATTTTAACATAAATCAGTACTCACTCTACATAGAGAGTATGTACAGGAGAAAAACTCTGTAAATGTGAGCAAAGTAGGAAAATGAGCATCAGAGGATTCATACAGGAGAAAAACCTTATGGATATGAGTGATATAAGAAGCATACTCCTGGAAATTAGCACTCACTGTACACCAGAGAACTCACACAGGAGAGAAAACCTATGAATGTGAACAATGTAAGAAAACATTGTCACAGAAGGCAAATCTCAGTGTACATCAGAGAACTCACACAGTATAGAAACTTTGTAATGGGAATGACATAGGAAAATGTTTTCCTGTAAGTCAGCACTCAACTGTACATCAGAGAACTCACCCTGGAGAGAAATCATATGAATGTTGACCATGTGGGGAAACGGTCTTCCAGGAGTAAGTGTGTCAGAGTCTGACAGAGGATAGAAACACTATGAATGTGATCAATGTAGTAAAATGTTCTGGAAGTCAACACTCACTTTATATTAGAGAATTCATGCAGTAGAGAAGCACTATAAATGTGAATTTTGTAGAAAAATGTACTACCAGACATTCTCAGTGAATATGAGAAGACTCACAGAGGAGAGAAAGGCTATGAACTTTGAAAGCAGAGGAAAACCTTCTCCCAGAAGGCATATTTCACTGTACATTAGATAACTTATGGAGATAAACCTTATCAATATGAACAATATAGAAAAACTTTCTACCAGAAGTTATCATTCCCTATACATATTCCCTATACATCAGAAAATACAGATGGGAGAAACCCTATCAATGTCAAAAATGTAGGAAAACATTCTACCAGGAGTCTACACTGATTGTACACTGGAGAAGTCACACAGGGTGGAAAATGTAAGAATGTGAACTTTGTAGGAAAATATTCTACCTGAAGGCAGAGCTCAATGTACATCAGAAAGTCACACAGGAATTAACCCCTACAGATGTAAAGATTGTAGGATATTTTTCTCCCAGAAACTGTATTTTAAACATTGAGAACTCGCACAGGTGAGAAACTTTTAAAATTAGGAATATAGAAAATCTTTCTTTAATAATTCAGCCCTCAGTGTACATAATAATTCACAGGAGAGAAACCCTATAAATGTAAATAGAAAATCTTCCATTCATAAGTCAGCCTTCTCTGTACATTAGAGAACTCACACAAGTGAAAAAAAATCCTATAAATGGGAATGATGTAGAAAAACTTTCTTTCAGGAACAGTTTCTGACTCTACAACAGATAACTAGCACAGGAGAGATATTCTATAAATGTGGGAAATATAGTAGAACATCCTAAAAGAAGCATCAATTTACTATGAACAGAAAACTCACATACTAGAAAGAAATATAAAATCTGAAGTAATATTTTTTTGTCAGAATTCAGAACTCACTGTAAATTAGAAAACTAACATGAGAGAAAATCCTTAGTAATATAAACAGTGTTGCAAACCTTTGCCCATAATTCAAATATGTGGGTTGATCCCTGAATGAAACAACATTTGTCAAATGCAGGTGCATTGATTCAGCAAGTCAAAGTAGTTAAAAATAGGGATAATAGAAAATCTGGGGATGGTATAGATGTCTCTGAAACGGGAAAATTTCAGCAGGCTAATGAATAAGTTTAAGCATATTCCAGTGATTGAAGCAAATGTCAGCTTATTTTTAAGACCTGTATAATATGTTTAAAAATGAAACCATGAGAGGAAACCAGCAGTTAGCATAATGGCTGTGTCGCTGGACTCCCACATAGTCGACCACGGTTCACGTCCCGGACCTGGTGGCTTAATCTCACGCCGGGCACATGTGTGTGTGTGTGCCCAAGATCCCGAGAGAATAGAGGAAAAGGAATTGTGGCATGACCATCCCCCTGGGGGGGTGATTTCTCACTTTCTGTCTCTCTGTCTCTCTCTCTCTGTCTTTCTGGTGAGTGCACGGGCCTTTTAGTGAAAACTTTCCAAAAAAAAAAAAAAAAAGAGAGAAAGAAACCATGAGGGACCAGCAGTTAGTGTAATAACTATGTCACTGGACTCCCATGTAGTTGACCATGGTTCGAGTCCTGGACCCGGTGGCTTAAACTCATGCTGGGTGCGTGTGCGTGCGTGCCCAAGATCCCAAGATCCCGAGAGGAGAATAGAGGAAAAGGGATTGCGGTGTGGCCATCCCCCCTGGGGGGTGATTTCTCACTTTCTGTCTCGCTGTCTCTCTCTGTCTTTCTGGCGAACACATGTGCCCTATAGAAAAAAAAAAAAAAACTCTCCAAAAAAAGGAAAAAAAGAATGAAATGACGATAATCACTTATTTAGGGAGAAATTAAATATACCAATAAAAACACTGAGTTAAAAAACATCTCTGCCATTATTTGTATCATCACTGCTATTTCAACATCTATTTTATTTATTTTTAAAAGCATATTCATGCATTATTTTCATGAACAAGAGCAACACAGAGACAGATTGAGAGAGAGAGCATTTCCAACAGGGTCTTGATGCTGCAATCTATTCCCAGTCTCAATTAGCCCCAAATCATGGGTATGTAAGTGATGGGAACTCAGACCTTTCCCATGAGGGTCAGTCTAGCAGAGTATCTTACTTTATTTCTATACTACAGCTAGCCCTTAATTATCTCCTGAATAAGGTAATATATTCCTGCTTTTTAATGTGTCCAGTTTTTGTTATTGAATGCTGAATATTTTAAATTGTATGTTAATGAATGTTGTGTATTGTTATAAAAATATTCAATATTTTAAACAAAGATCAGTTGAGTCCTTTTCAGAGATGTCTATAAACTATGTGATTGGGGTTTGAAATAAATGTCTCTCTCTAAGATTTCTTTTGAAGACTCGTGTTTTGAACAAGGGTTCACTGTGCTCTCTGATTTCTTGGATCTCTAAAATAATTCTTCCCTGTGTGGGCTCTAGTAACTTTTTGGCTTTATAATTCTATGGCTGTTATTATATAAACTTTAGAGGTTTTCATCATAGACATAATTAAGTGTTCAGTCACAGACTCAAGCAAACCGTATAAGGTAGGAGGGGATGAATAACAATCATTAAAAAATATTACATGGTAAACAAGAAGCTAGGTTTACCCAAAATTCCTCTATTATTCATAATTACTTTAGATGTACATGAAGTAAACTTTCATATTAATAGGCATAGGTTACCAGAATGAATTTAATTTCAAATAAATCAGTTAAGTGTATACTGTGTGGAAGAGATTTTCTTTGCATATTCTGTTGTTTATGTTAAAAAGACATGGTGGAGCCAGCAGGTGGTGTCATCCTTAAGGTGCTGGACTCCCAGATGGCTGGTCACGGTTCAAGTCCTGGACCTGGTGGCTCATTTTCTCACTTTCCCTCTCTCTCTTTCTCTCAATCTCTCTCTCCTTCTCTCTGGTCAAATAAATTATACTAAACACAATTTTTAAAAATGAAGACATAGTTAGAGAGTTAGATGTCTAAAAATGAAAATTTTAAAAAAGTGTCAGAAACAGGGCCACCAGACCATCTTCATCATTTGAGTCCTGGGCCCAGCAGCTTAAGAAAGAATGGAGGAGAAAGGTTTGTGCTGTGGCCATCATCCTTGTGGGCAGTGATTTTTCACTTTCTTTCCCTTTCTGTTCCTCTCTGTCTCTTTTGGGAGAGCACACATGCCCTATGGCAAAGGTCAAAAACAAAACAAAACAAAACAAAAAATAAAATCTGATGGAAACAAAAACATAGTTTACTACTGTAGACTTTTTAATAAACATTGCTATGTGGCAGAAATATGAAAGTCTATACTATCACTTAGAAAACATTGAATCACACACAGGATACATTGTAAGGAAGTAACATTTAATTGAGATTTAAGATATGATGGTTAATTTAACTAAATATAAGGAAAAAAATATTTGCCTGTGTGCCATTAGTCTTTGCTTTTCTTTGCCTTGAAGAAGTAAATATACATATATTAGAAATGTTATCAAATGACACTTGCCTATAGTATATATTATTATGAGAACATTTTTCCTTGATTATTTAAATACAAAGTTTATATCAATACTTAAACATTCTGTGGAAGGCATTTTTCACTTCTTTGTTTCTTAAACTGTAGATCATGGGATTGAGCAAGGGGATCACTAATGTATAAAACACAGAAGCTATTTTATCAGTATCATAGGAGTGGGTGGATTTGGGTTGAACATACATGAAGAGTAGAGACCCATAAAACACCACAACCACTGTTAGATGAGAACCGCAGGTAGAGAAAGCTTTTTTCCTGCCTTGTGCAGAATTCATTTGGAATATGGTTACCAGAATCAGTATGTACGATACTAAGACTACTAGTAATGAGGAGAACAAATTAAATGCTGAAAATAGTATGATCATCAACTCTATTTCCTGTGCATTTGAGCAGAGCATCGTTGTCAAGGGAACATCATCACAGTAAAAATGACTGATGACATTAGAGCCACAAAACGTTAAAGTGAAAGTCTTACTAGTGAACAGCAGAGCCTGAAAGGCACTATAGAGGTATGGAATGCCCACCATCACATAACAAAGTCTCTGAGACATGATAACATTGTACAACAGAGGGTTACAGATGGCCAGATAGCGGTCATAGGCCATGGCTGACAAAATGAACAGTTCACTGATGATGAACAGAATGAAGAAAGCCATCTGTGTAGCACATTCAAAATAGGAAATGGTATTTTGATCCACAACAAAATTTACCAGCATCTTTGGACAAATGACAGTGGAATTTCCAAGATCAATGAAAGCCAGATGTCTTATAAAAAAATACATAGGTGTGTGTAGGCGCAAGTCCACCTTAGTTAAAATGATCATTCCCAAGTTTCCCACTACTGTGATTGTGTAGATGATGAGGAAGACCCCAAAAAGAGGAAGCTGCATTTCAGGCCTTCTTGTAACTCCCATCAGAATAAATTCTGTCAGCATGGTGAGATTCTGTTGACCCATGTAGACAAGCTATCATTTCAGGAAAGAAATAAAGATGTCAGTAGGTGTTTCATTTAGTGTCATCTTTAAATTACACTGTTTGTAGACAGAACAGAAATTTTAATCCTAAGGGAAAGCAGAAAATTCTACAAGTAATTTTAAAATGCAATAAAATAAATGACAGAATGTTTTACTTCATAAAAGGATGGAAACATGAGAAATATATATACTGACTTATTAATTAAATCCTAAGAGTTAGCAATATCTATCAATAACAAAAACCTTTAAGTATTCATATAGGAATATAAAAGTTCATTTCTTCTGTGTATGAGTATGACTTTTTTTTTTATTAGCGCACTTATTTTTTGGTGTGTGAATTCTTATAGAATTTGGGTATTCTTTTTTTTTTTTTTTTTTTTTTGGAGGGGTTTTTTTTTAAAGGCAACGTGCACCACAGAGAGAGACAGAGAGATAGAAAGTGAGAAATCACCCACCAGAGGGGATGGCCATGCCACAATCCCTTCTCCTCCATTCTCTTCTCTGGATCTTGGGCACGCACGCACATGTGCCTGGCGTGAGTTTAAGCCACTGGGTCAGGGACTCGAACCGCAGCCGACTACATGGGATTCCAGCGACATAGCCATTATGCTAACTGCTGGTCCCAAAATTGGGGTATTCTTAAGGAGAAAAGCAAATATAACTTGGAACTACTGAAACTTAAATTTAGAGTTCTTTATTTGTACTTCTGAGGTTCTGTGTAGGGCACTATTAATTCGCTAACAAAATGTATTGAGTATAATCGATTGATTTTCTCTTTCCACTCCAACTTCTACTCTAAAACACCAACAAATATCAGGTAACATCTTCTATAACTATTGTGAGGTCCAACTAATAAATTCTTCTATTAATGACACTTTAATTAATATCATTGGGCATAGGTACATGGTTGTAAAATAATATTTTGGGACCAGCAGATAGTGTAATCGCTACATCACTGGACTTTAACATAGTCAACCATGGTTTGAATCCCAGACCTGGCTTAATACTCATGCTGGGCCCGTGTACGTGTGTGTCCCAAATCCTGGGAGGTAAATGGAGTGGAAGGAATTGTGACAGGGCCATTCCCCCTGGTGGGTGATTTCTCACTTTCTCTCTGTCTGGTAAGTGCACACACCCTATAATAAAATCTCTCTAAGAGAAAAGAAATAAAGAAAAAAGTGATGTTTCATTGGCTAACAGTGTCTATTCTGATTTCAATATATATATATCATATATATATATATATAGTATTGTATTTTATCAATGAACATGTATTTACAGGTTTTCTAGTATCAATATTTTGATTGGGAGTTTGTGTGTAACTGAGACTATGTAATATTTTTCCATTCTAAATTGCTATTCACATTTATATCTTAAGTTGATTATATATTGTAAGTTAATTTAAAAAATAGTATAAACTCAAAAAAACAAATATGGCTAGGGGCCAGCAAGTGGTGTGGTGGTTAGGGATGCTAGACTTCCACATGGCTGACTGGGTTTGAGTCCTGGACCTGACAGCTAGCTTTCTCACCTTCTCTTTCTTTTTCTCTCTCATTCTGTCCCTCTCTGGTCAAATTAAAATAAATAAATAAGTAAAATAATTGTTTGTTTGTTTTTTAAAGATAAAGGGACCAGCAGTTTGCATAATGGATATGTTGCTGGACTCCCATGTAGTTGACCACAGCTCGAGTCCTGGACCCAGTGGCTTAAACTCATGCCAGGCATGTGTACGTGCGTGCCAAGATCCTGAGAAGAGAATGGAAGCGAAGGGAAAGGAATTGTGATGTGGCCATCCCCCCAGGGGTGATTTCTTGATTTCTGTCCCTCTGTCTCTCTATCTTTCTCTGTCTTTCTGGCAAGCACGTGCATCCTATAGCAAAAACCTCTCCAAAAGAAAAAAGAGAGAGAGAGAAAGAAATGTGTTGTTAATCCATTACTACTTAAATTACATTTTATATCAATATTCAAGTATTTTAAGTATTTATTTATGTATGCCTTAGTTTCTCTAATAAAACCTTTTAAAATGATAGGGTTTAAACAGTATTTGAAATATTTATTTGAATCCTAAGTACATTATCTATTAGTAAATGATAACTTTTTTTTTGAATTATAAAATGGAGTCATTTCTTTTTTAGGAGTTTTTACTATAGGGTGTGTGCGCTCACCAGAAAGAAAGAGAGGGACAGAGAGACAGAAAGTGAGAAATCACCGCCCTGGGGAGATTGCAATGCCACAATCCCTTCTCCTCCATTCTCCTCACAGGGTCTTGGGCATGCCCACATATGTACCCAGCACGAGTTTAAGCCACCAGGTCTGGGACTTAAACAGTGGTCGACTACATGGGAGTCCAGCAACATAGCCATTATGTCATCTACTGGTCTTAATAAAATTAAATCTTTATAGAATGTGATAATGTGATTAAAAATTAAAGTATTTTCAAGCATGTGTGCATGTGTGCCCAAAATCCCAGGAGAATTGTGGAGAAGGAATTGTAGTATGGCTATCCTCCCTGGGGAGTGATTTCTCATTTTTCCTTTCTTTGTCTCCCTCTGTATCTCTCTGGTTAGTGCACATGTCCTACAGCAAAAATATTAAAAATATTTTAAGTATAACATGAGAACTACAATTATTAAATCTACTGTATTTAAACATTAGCCAATATGTTTTGATAAATTGCATGACTTGTAAGAAAACTCTTAGGAAGTATATGTCATTAACCATAGTATTCTTTGTATTGCAGTTGTATTGCTCAGTCTGCAAAAATTAATGATATAACTGATTCAATTAGCTAATAATTTCATAACTGATTTGCTTTCACTAATGCATGTTCACCACAGGATGATGATATAAAATCAGATATCATTAAATTTGGCTAAGATTTAATAAAAACTTAAAGCTTTCTGGCTAATTATTTTATAGCATCGAGAATGGATTATATGTAGCTAGTGACGTCATTGAACTTTACGGTCATAGTAGAGTGTGGGGTCAGCTTATAGGAGAAAGAGCAGCTGTATTTTTTGAACTTTGTTTCAGTAGACTTGATTATTTTCCAGTTAATCTACTGGATAATGACACTTTAGACTTCATGTTACTCAGTTTTAGCAGAAATGCTTAAGTGATTTACGTTTAACGGGGTGCAGGGATCAGGGGCTTCTTAGCGATAAGTAGGGCATAGTGTTTTTTAGAAAAATAATGCTTTATAAAAAGATGACTGTAACAGAAATTATAGACAGTGGTAGTAAAAAGAAAAACAAATCTTTTCAAACTAAAAATAAATACACATGCTATTTTGAGATTTTGGTCTCAATGGTAGGAGAACTTTATATAGACAAGTAAAAACAAGGGTGTAAATATATGTAAAAGGTGCTTGTTGACAAATTGTATTTGGTAATCTCAAATGGTTATTGGGATAGAAAGCTGTCATAACAGAGAGCTGCCCTATCCTGATACTGAATTTCCATCTCTATGTTTAAAACATTTTTTAGCATAATTGCCAAGGACTCAATTTCAAAAATATCTTTCAGGCCATAAATTTATCAACATTTTTCCCCCTCTGGAAGCTATTATGTTGTATTTTTTGTTTTTATTTTTTAGATGACTCTTTTTAGTACATTTAGCAGTCACCTTAGTTGGTCAATATGCATGTTTTTCAAAACCATGCTGGAGCCCACAAAAATGTACTATTGTTTAAAAACAAGGAATCATAATTTAGAAATAAATTAAAATGTCCAGTTCATGGTATGGCCGTTGTGATGACTGGCGTCCCCATGGCAGACTGCACGGTTTGAGTCCTGGACCTGGAGACTTGGGAAACACAATATATCTATGTGCATGCTCAAATCCTAAAGGAGGGGAGAGATGGAACAAAAGGAATTGTGGTAATGTAGAGTGAGCAATCCCTGTGAGTGTGGTTTTCTCACATTCCCTCTCCTTGCCTCTTTCTTCCTCTCTGGCAAGTGCATGCACCTTCTAGTAAATTGTTTTTTAATTAAAATAATAAAACAAATTTAAGAAAAATAACACTCAATTCTGTAGGAGTGATTCACAATTGGAATACTAGATAGATTTTAAGTATTTTGTCAGATGAAATACAGAAGATAATTCTAATGTAATAAAATGCAATCTTCAGATTGCATAACTATTATATATATATATTTATATGAAATATGAGCTGTTGGGGTCAGCATGTGGTGGTTAAGATGCTAGACTCTCACGTGGCCGACCACAGTTCGAGTCCAAGATCAAGCAGCTTAAAACTCATACTGGATTTTGTGTGTTTGCATGACCAAAATCAAGAGAGGAGACTGGAGGAGATGGGATTGTGACATTACCGTTCCTTCTTGGAGGTAATTTATTACTTACTCTCTCTCTTTCTCTCTCTCTCTCTCTCTCTCTCTGTCTCCGGTGAGCACATGTTCCCTATAGCAAAAATCTCTCTATAAAGAAGGTGGCAGTGGGGGGAGCAATATGTTCTGAATTGAGAAAAGAATTTAGAATCCCAATATCTGTCCTACCATTTCCAGGTATTCAGTGGTTGGGTTTATTTCCATTTTAATGACAAGGTATTCCACTTCCCTCTGGAGATTTTGTGAGATTATTTTATCCTGTCCAGTGTTCATGTGTGGAAAAGGATGTATCTAATCTGTTCTGAACATTTTAATATATATATTTTAAATTTCCCTATTTAAGAGTAACCAAGAGAACAGACCAGATGCAAAAAAAAAAAAAAAAAAAAAACATGTAAAGGAATGATTGATTTTCCAGTCTTAAGACATAATGAAATCTGTTAAATATTATTTCAGGTTTAGGTGCGTCTTCTTAACTTCATAATTCTTTACATTTGCTCTATGCATTTGCCTGTCCAGTTTTTGATGACCATTGTGAAACAAAGTAAAAACAAACTGCCTATGTAGTAAGTAACTGGAAAGGAAAACATAGATAAACATACAACTTAATATCTGCAAGTTTATGCATGTGACATT